ACTACTCATTTCCTACTTTATTTTAAACATGCTATGTGTAATTTTGCTCTTGCGACAAATTTGGTATGTAAGAGTAAACAGGCAATGATTAATTTTATTACACGGAGTTGTGGTCGAGTTAGAGTAGTAGAGGAGGTAGGGATTACCTTTGCGGGTGGTTGTGTATCGAGCTCAATGAGCCCGTATGGTGTATAGGTGCACCTCAAGCCAACCACGTACTTCATATGCCTGTTATGCGAGAGAGAGAGATACCATGCATTAATTGGGGGACTCCATTGGAGGAGTTTGCTCAGCGTTGCCAGGTTGACGTTTTTAATGTCATTTGGACGTTTTTTCTATCCTGTTGACGTTTGGACGTTTTTTGTATAAAAAATGACGTTTTTTAACTTCCCAGTGATTTTTCTTTGTTACTAAATCTTGCAAGAGGAACTGATTTTGAATTATTTTCTTAATAAACCTTTACACTCTTTGTGTTTTGCTGCAGCTGCTTCAAAAGATTTTTTTTGGATTCTTGGACTAAGAATCCCGTGTTCAAAGGCTGGTTGTGTAAACACTTGAGGTTACGAGACTTGCTGTAATGTTTGCAATTGCACATTAAAAGCCGAATCAGGAAGAGCCGATCTATTGCAACACGCACGCTCGCAAAAGCATCAAAATAGCTGTGCCGCAAAAAACGTCAGAAAAAGTAGGCGACTTTTTTAAGACTACATTGAAAATGTAATGAACGCAAAAAAGACTGAAATATTGCTATGCTCCTTCCTAGCAGAACGTAATTTAGCATTTTCGACAACCGAAATGTCTACAAGAAACAAATATTAAAAATCAACGCCCCTTTAAACTTGCACATTATTGCCCTGAAATTTAATGGGCTATCTGCGTACTCAAAAAAAATTTAAAAAATCTCAATAAAAAGTTGAAAATCTAGCTGAAAATTTGCAGATTTTTTATAATTCTTGTACAGTTTTTGTGGATTTATATTTTGTTTGTTAAAGAGCTTGGCTTTTATGGAAAAATAATATATATTAAATAAACGAAAGAGAAACAGCCAAAATCGATCAAAATGTTGATGACTTAATCAGCTGGTCACAAGTGTATGTATAAAATTATTTTTATATTAACGATCTCAAACCAGTTTACAATGAATTTTAAATGTGCTCTGTCGAATTGACATTTTAATATACCTTACGTACATATATACTTTTGTACACAATAAAAGTTTAATAAGAACAATTGTGGAGTTCCACACCAAAATGCTACATTTCCTCATAAAAATTGTTTCAGATTGGTGCTTTTACGGCAATCGTGTGATCTCAGCTTTACGTTTTGGTGCGATCGAGTGATTTCAATACGACTCAATAAAGGTGTGGTTGCTTTGTCTCGGGTCCTCTGTTAAAATATGGACACATACCAGTAAATGCAAGGAATTTGCATTAACATTTCGAGTTTTGGAAATGAAACGTTTTGGTGTGGAGCTCCACAATTTCTTCTACATTCATTTGAAAAAGACATTTTTGGGTAGGAAATGACGTTTTTTCAGACTAAGAGTGACGTTTTCTCATGACGAAGACCTGGCAACACTGGGATTTATTCAGGGATGCATTCATGCAGAGCCCCAGTGTGGTTTGTAAAACCGCAAACAGTCAACGACGTAGCGTAGGCGTAGGTTGACGCAGACACGTTCTACCTTATGGGATTCGCGTGTTAACGAAAACTCACCACCGCATGGCGTTGACGTTGCCATTGCTTCTCTCTTTCTCTATCAACAGTAAATTTTATATGCTGCTACGTACGTCAACCTACGTTTACGCTACGTCGTTGACTAACTGCGCTTTTCTGCATTTTCCGCATAAACAAAGAACAGCGAACACCCACACGCATTGGTGTGAAAATGAAAAGTACTGATTATGCAGCCCTGAGTTATTAAATATTTAAGTAAGCAACGAATAGAGAACAATGGCAGCACTATTTGCAAATTGTCATTTGACTTTTCTAGTTTTGCCGTTTTGTTGATTTTTTTTTTTTAATATTGCGCAAAGTATGAAACTTGGATTTATAAGGGTTTTGCTAAAGAATGAACTATATCCTCCTCGGTCCTCGCGTGTAGCCCGCTGGACACTTTTTAAATGGACATATAATAAAAAATTTTAAATTTATTTCAATTCGATCCAACTTTATAGCCAGCTGGACATCTTAAGTATACAATTGAATTGTTTTTTTTTACGTTTGTGGCAATACTGTCGTAATACGATCCAAGAAGTGAACAGTTATTTGAAAAAACGTGTGGTCCTTGTGAATGTAATTTCAAATTAATATTTTCGCTATATTTCTTCAAATCAAGTTTAATATTTTATTAAATTCAATCGAAAAATACTTGTTCTTTAAGGTAAATAAAAAATCTTTTAAATAAGTTTATTAAAATTCGGATATGAATACTGTTTCTTAAATGTTCAGTGGGCTGGACATTTGGTAGCTATCATGTCGAAAAAACATTTTACGGAAGAAGAGGTGATGGAGATGCTCATTGACAGTGATTTTGAAGGTTTGCCCGACGATGAAGACTTGGAACTCGTTCCTAATTGTTCGAATGTGGCTTCTTCAAGTGATTCCGATTCTGACTACAATGCAGAATCTGATAATGAAGAAGAAAATGTTGCTGAACAAGAGTTGGTTGATGCAAATGAAAGCCCCTCAAATCTTCAAAATAAAAAACCGCTTTAATGGCTAGCCAAAGAATTTGTCGTGGGTAATACTCCCGCTGCCGACGAGGCATGGAACGCAGAAGATAGATTTGAGTGGACACCTTTCCAATATTTCTCGGAGTATTTTGACGACGATTTTTGGCGCGAAATTTCACAACAAAGTAATACGTACGCTCTAGAAAACGGCCAAAATTTGTATTCAAACTATAATGAGTACAAGAAACTATCTGGGGCCCACATACTTGCTGGTTGCATGAAACTTCCGCGCGTAAGGATGTACTACCGACCTGCTATTAATGTTCCAGCCATTACACAGATACCAAGGGATCGATTTTTTAAATTAAGAAATTATATGCATTTTGTCGACAACTTAAGAGCTACACCACAACAAAAAGAAAACAACAAATTGTGGAAAGTTGAACCAATAATAAAAGCCATTTTGAAAAAATGTCAATTGCTACCAAAGCCAGCAAAACTGAGCATCGATGAACAAATGATTCCATTCTCTGGTACCACGCAATTGAAACAATGTGTTAAGGGGAAACCCTGTCCTGTTGGTTTGAAAAATTTTGCAACCACGATTTAGGTATCGGAGGAACAGTAGTGCAAAGACTTGCAGAAAATATTAGTAAAGGCAGCGAAATATTTATTGACCGATAGTTTACTTCGATAAAACTACTAGAGTTTTTGCTGGAAAATGGAATATATGCTACGGGCACGATTCAACAAAACCGAATCCCCAAAGAACTGCGAATAAAACTTTCAACCGACCATGATCTTCTAAAAAGAGGCAGAGGTACCTTCAATGAATTTGTGAGAGAAGATGAGAAACTAGCGATTGTAAAATGGATGGACAGTCGTTCGGTTCTAATGGCGGCCACGTCGACTTGAGCACGACCACTTATATCTGTTCGTCGATGGGATAAGAAAGCCAAAAATTACATAAATGTCAATTGTCCCCGTATTCGTAGCAAGTTACAACACGTCAATGGGAGGCGTAGATCTTGCGGACAGGTTGATATCCTATTACCGTATTAACATCAGAACAAAGAAGTGGCCCACACGAGGTTTTTGGAATATGGTTGATCTCGCACTGTGTAATTCCTGGGTTCTTTATAAAAAAGACAAATTTTCCTGTGGTGCAAGGAGGTGCGAGTTGATGGACCTATTAGATTTTAAGATGTACGTAGGAGAATGTTTGTCCGCATGTGCTGGTAAAAGAAGGCTACGTGACATCGAAATCGAAGACGATGTCTCAACAAAAAGAGTTAGGTCCATACAGGCCCTACCCCCAAAAGATGTGAGAAGGACTGAAAATAGACACTTACCCATCTGTGGTGTCCAGGATAAAAATAAATTTATGAGATGCCGTAAAGAAGGATGTAACCAAAAAACCAGATTCAAATGCGTTTCTTGTAATGTGTTTTTGTGCATTGCCAGCGATAGACACTGTTTTATGGAATTCCCTTCGTAAGAAATTAGTACTAAGTTAACCGTTTATTGAAATTAACTGAATGTTTTAAAATACTCTTAATTTAAAAATTAGTTGCTTTTTCGTTGGCATACGATCCAAATGTCCAGCTGGCTGCACCTGCCAGTGCTAAGAATCCTTATATGCTACAATAAAAAAAAATGGGTTTTCTAATTATTTGGGAAGAATATAACGCAAAAACATGATTTTTTTTTTAGTTTTTCAATTATTTTAGTCTCGGGACTGAGGAGGATATTTTTGTAAAAAATAACTCAAATTAAATAACCAAAAAAAAAATTGTGAAAACTTGTGCGACTAAATTTTTTTCGACAACTGTATGTATGTATGTAAATATTATATGCTCATTTTTTATTTTTCATTTGTTAACTAACTTTTTAGAATAGGTTTGGTTTAAAAAAAAAAGATGTATTACATTCAAAAATAAAATAAACAGAAAGACCAACAATATGTCAAAATACATTCAATATTTTTTTGTAAATAAGCAGATATCTACGGTTGGGGAATTCTACGAAATTTCGAGCCAAATCGGGGAATTTCATCGACGAAATCGGGAAATAGTCAAAAATGAGTTTGCTACCCTGGGCGGGACGAAGTTCGCCGGGTCTGCTAGTATTTAAATAAAACTGATCTGAAACCCAACGAAAGTTAAATGGTATTTAAATAACAATCCAAAATTAAACTTAAGTGCCGTTTAAATATTCATTTGAAATTGGCCCTTAATGTAATGAAGGGCAAGAGAATTGGGCGAGTATTAAAAAATCATTTGAACATGATAATGTTAGTATGTAAGTGGTTAAATCTTCACTCACCATAATTCCATGCCAACTTGAACCCAGCGCCTGTGCTTCCTACAATAGTACGGAACTTGATCCACATTTTCTCAAATGTGACTATTTTGTCCGTCCCTGTATCGTTGGAGCAATATAAACGAAGCATCCTACCACGTTCATTGTCCTGACGTACCTCTAGAAAATCTTGGTTGCAGTTCTCTGAAGATCTGATATCCAATTCTTGGACATCCAACTCTATATTATTGCCAGCCGCAGCTTTAATTTCCCACACACATTCTACATTAGATGGATAAGATTGCGGGTAGAGAGGGGAGGTCAATATGCCCCGCAAAGACGTAAGTATGCCTCCGCAAGAATTTTGTGTTACGCTATATTTGGCCGTAAATTCGATTTGCGAAGCGTGTACTTCCAAAGAGTTTGTGGGCAAAACGATGTTGGATCTATGATTTTCGCAAAACTGGTTTAGCGCGCTTTTATCATTTCCATTTATTAGCTTAAAAATATAGCATTCGGTTACGTTTTTATTAAAAGTATGTATGTATGTGTTCATTGTATATACATACATAAGAACATATGTATGTAATTGCATTTTTAAAAACTTACTCTCAAACCATTTTTACAATTAGACGCCTTTGAGCAGAAACACTCTAATTGTAATATATCCAAGAAAATTTGTGTGCCTTCGGAGTCAATTTTCCATACGCAATCTTCCTCTAATCGAGACTTCAGATAACCGTAAGAGTCCTTCAGATATCCTCCACAAGTCTTTTTTGAAAATAGAGGGAATAGAAATCATAAAACTTTTATTTAAAAATCTACATATGTACATTTATATGTGTAATAAATACATTTCCCAGCCAGAAAGAAAACGTACATTGTACGAACATTATGTTTTACGAGGGATTCTCGATCGGCGAAAAGTTAGAGAAAGGCTCGTAAACGAAACAAAAAAAAAAGTAAAAGAAAGAGCCTTGTAGTAATTTGTCAGCACAAGAAAACATTTCCATTCGGTTAGAAATTTTTCTTGAACCACAATATTTTATAATACATAAAGTACTTGAAAACGAATTGTAAACGGCTATCATAAACGACTTTTTAGCCGGTTTTTCTTCGAGAAAATATCCAGTTACTCGCTCGTTGACGATGATTATGCTGGCTGGGTTTATACTCTAAATCAAGGTTGCTCAAAATTTTTATATTGGAAGTAATATCACAATACATCTACAAAATTTACATATGTGTACACTGCGATTTTTTTTTATTTAAATGAAGCACAAAAGTACAAGTTTATTTTTATTGTACGATTAGTGAGTGAAAATTGTTAACAATGGGAGTATTTACATATATGTGGATTAATACAGAGCGTTAAGAAGTGAAAGCGACCTGGTGGTAGTGTTGCCACTAAGATATTTTTTCCCCTACCAGAAACCGTACCAAAACGGTTTTGAGTGTACCAAAAAATTTTTTTTCCAGTAGATAACAAAAAATAAATGGTTTTTTCTAACTCGTTATTTTTCAATAAAGAAACAAAAAGTTTTAAACTTAAATTAATTTCACTGGATTAAAAATCCATCGATATACAATATTTTCTATTTTAGTCTTTTTTTGCTATTTTTTATTGCTATATATATATATATATATATTTTTTATATGCATACTTGGAATATTTTAATCAGATTTTTTAGAGTTTTTTTCAGTATACTGTTTTGTGGCCCGATAAATTTTGAACGGGGGGTCCGACTACTTAGTAAGGGTTATAGTCCATAAACGCGGCCGAAGGCCGCCTACGCAAAAATAAGTTCTGCGCAAAAATACTTACGCACCCCTTTTCCGGCAACACAGAAAGGAGAATTCTACTTACAGGCCTATTCTGCTTGTTACCGGACATTTTGACACCGGACATTTTTGTTGCCAAATAATAACACCAGTTCTTGTAACCTCGATTCTAAGCACCTCGGTAATAATTTAATCTATTTGGCAATTCAGCTATGAAGTTTTGTATAAATTTTGTAATTATTCTTAAGCGCGGCCGAAGGCCGCCTACGCAAAAAGTTCATGTTTATATTTCGCTTTACAAATGTATGTATGTGCGTACATAATTTGGTTCTTTTTTATACAAAAAAAGTATTTCAAAACCAATAACTTACTAAAAAATTGTTTATTGTAGCTTAAAATTATTGTAACCAATAGAGGTAAATATGTTGTACAAAAACACATAAACAGAAGTTCACAAAAGTTGATATAAAACTATTCTTCGATTTAAATAGTTAACTTTTTACTGCGCATGTTTATTTTACGTGGAGGAAGCATCGAAAGCCTAACCCCGTCAGTGTGAGACTTTAACCCAAACTAAACTTCCTACCGTGATGTACCGTTCCCCTCCCGGTACCACCGCATTTCGGCGGGATTATAACACTGTATGACTTGTAAGGTTATAGATCTACTCTCTTATTCTTCTTATTTGGCGCTGTAACCGCCAAAGCGATTTTGGCCGAGTTCAACAAAGCCGCCAGTCGTTTCTCTTCTGTACCAACTGACGCCAGTTGGAAATGCCAAGTGAAGCCAGAATACTTTCAGAGCTGGAGCGTCGGTGTCCATTCGAACGACATGGTCAAGCCAGTGGAACCGCTGTATTTTAATTCGCTGCACTATGTCCATGTCGTTGTCGTCTGCGGTACTCGCCGTCGCCAACGCGTAAAGGCCCGTAAATCTTCCGCAAAATCTTTCTCTCGAATACTCCAAGAGCCACCTACACGGATGTTGTCATTGTCCATGCGTCTGCACCATATATCAGCACGGGCATGATGAGAGACTAATAGAGTGTGGTTTTCGTATGTCGAGAGAGGACTTTACTCCTGGATTGCCTACTCAGTCCAAAGTAGTACTTGTTGGCAAGAGTGATTCTGCGTTGCATTTCCATGCTGGCATTATTATCGGTGTTAATGCTGGTTCCCAAGTAAGCGAAATTCTCTACATTCTCGAAATTATAACTGTCAACAGGGACGTGGGTGCCAAGGCGCGAATGTGCTGATTTATTGTTTGATGACAGGAGATACTTCGTCTTGTCCTCCTTTATCACCAGACCCATCCGCCTTGCTTCCTTGTCCAACTTGGAAAAGGCAGAACAGACTTTGCGGTTTTTCTTACCGATGATGTCAGTGTCATCGGCCTAAGCCAGAAATTGTACACTCTTGTAGTTAATTGTTCCTGAGCGATTCAACTCTGCTGCTCTTATTATCTTCTCCAACACATGAAAGGAAGTCGCCCTGTCTCAAAACCCTGTTTGGTGGCGAAAGGCTCGGAGAGGTCTTTCCCAATTCTGGCAAAGCTGATGGTATTGCTCAACGTCATTTTACACAGCCGTATGGGTTTGAGGGGATGCCAAATTCAGACATAGCGGCGTATAGGCAACTCCTTTTCGTGCTGTCGAAAGCGGCTTTAAAGTCGACAAATAGGTGATGAGTGTCGATCCGTTTCTCGCGGGTCTTTTACAAGATTTGGCGTATTGTGAATACCTGGTCTATGGTGCATTTGCCAGGTCTACAGACATACTGATAAGGCCCAATCGTTCATTGATGGTGGTATTATTAGCTCCTTGCCATCGTAATTGAATAGCTCAGCCAACAGACCGGCAGCTCAAGCAGCTTTGTTACTTTTCATCAGCATAATCGCTATTCGTACCTCGTCATAGTCAGGCGCTGGCGTATCGACTCCATCGTCAATGACTGGGGCCCGGGTTCGTCTTCTCCACTACTTTCTGTGCTTCTGCCATTCAAAAGGGTCGAAAAGTGTTCCCTCCATAATTTGAGTATGTTCTGGACATCGGTCTCTAGGTCGGCATGGTTGTTCCTACAGGAGTCTTGAAACCTTCCGAAAGTCGCTCAACTCTATGCTTATAATTTCGGGTGTTTTTTCTGTCGGCCAGCACTTCAAGCATTTTTCTCTGCACTCCTCTTCATACCAGTAATGAGCGGTATCGCTTTGCTGAAAAGTGCTCTCTCACAGCAGGTGTGAGATTCGAGCGGCGAATCCATTGACCGTCTGTTTTGATTGCAGCTTTTCGACGTTGAACTTTCTTTGCACTATTGGGACCCTTTTTTTGCTGCACCGAGGTGGGGTTGTATATTGGCTGCATTAATATAGTGGTGCGAGTCGATGTTTGGCCCTCGGAGTGTACGTATGTACATCTAAAACACTGGAAGCATGCCTTCCGTCTTTCACAACATGCTCGATTTGGTTTCCCGTTTTTCAATCTGGAGACACTCATGTAGCTTGAGGGATACTTTTATGCTAGAACCCAGTACTACATACTGCCAAGTTTCGGGCCCCGGTGAAGTCGATCAGTCTCAGCCCGCTGTATCTATTCTAAAAGATCCCTTCGTTGCCCACCTTGGTATTTAAATCGCCAAGCACGATTCGGGAGCAGCGCTAATATGTACGCTCCAAGTTAAGAGATCCTTAGATGCCTCGTCCTTCTCTTCCATCGGGGCATTAGCACATATGAGCGAGAAGAAGAAACTCGCTTTGGTACGGATTGTGGATAGACGTTCGTCCACTAGAGTGAACGCCGGTCTCTCTCCCACCACAAATCTAACACCAACTTGCGTTCCTTTACGTGGCAACAGTAGTAGACTTTGCAAGGCATCACGCTTACTTTCATGGATGGCGGTGACGTCATCCTTTATTTTCTCTAGGACATCAACCAGCCGGGAATTGGCACCTTCCTGATTAAGGGTTCGGATATTCCAGGTGCATACCCTCAAATCATAGTCCTTCCTATGTTTGCCGTGATCGTCATCAAAAGAAGAGGGTATCATCCGAGGCATGTGTTTTTTTTTTCATTGGGCAGGGTTGTAAAGTACCGGGACCCAAACCCAGCGCTCGCGGGGTGTTACGCCCTCCCATTTTAACTCGCTCCCAAACTACATAGTTTTCGTTCGCTACCCAGAGGATTCATAGATATAAATATCCGGACGTAGTGAGCTGCGATTTGAACCGTAAGAAAGCGAATCACTTCTGGCCACTCCCAAATGAATGACAGTCAAAAGCTTTGCAGTACTGGGAAATGTACAGCGATTTTTTCGATTCTATCATGAAAATGCAACTCTAAAAATCGTCATTTTTGGCTATTTTTTGACAAATTTTAGCGATGAACAAAATGAACCCGGATAAAGTGAGTGAACTGTTTTTGACAGCTCAAACAGCTAATGGCGATTCCAGCGTTTTTTCCATTGCCAAAAATACTTATTTTTCGCTTAAAAACCTGCAAATTTGACGACGACAAATATTCGGTGCTAAAAAGTAAATCAATAAAAAATAGGTAATACTTAGATTGTTGTTTGTTTAAAATAACCGATTAAATAAAAATTGTTGTAATTCATATTAAAAATGGAAAACTGCAACAATAGAAGGGTGACAAATGAGCAAAAATATATGCTTGTTCAATATTTGGAAGAACACAGGGAATTTGCTCATGACAGGTATGGAAAAGATTTTCTCGTAAATGAAATAGTTGAGGTTCCTTTTTTTTTTTTTTGAATCCGTGAATGACACCGCGTGCAAACGTTTGCTGGAGCAGTGGAACCATCTTGCCGAGAAACTAAACGCCAACGTCAACCAACTATTTTTGATGCGATCACCATTAAAAACATCCTTTGCACTGCCTTTAATAAACATTACTGTTGGATAAGAACGAATTTTCATTTCACGCGGTAAATACGAAAATCGTGTACAAAGAAGTTTTCGTGCTCGTATATTCAGGCCAT